GCAGCTCCCATTGGCCCAGAGCATCAAACTGCGGCCAGTAGGAGCCGCGATCGGCCGGACCTGCGGACGGGGCAGGTAAACAAACCGGCCTGGCCCGCCAGGGGCTTTCCCTACACAAGCGGCGACCCCAGTTTGAGAAAACACTGCCCTAGCCTCTGTTTGCCAGAAGCTGGGAATGGGCAACAGTGGATGGATCACTTGATGATTACCTGTTCTGTTCATTCCCTGTGGGGCACCTGGCATTGGCCACTGTCGGAAGACAGGATATAGGCTAGATGGATCTTTGGTCTGACCCAGTATGGCCATTCTTATGTTCTTAAGTCCATATTTTTGCAGCAGAATAAAATTGGCCTGATTTTCTTAGCTGCTGAGCACCACAACTGAAGGTAACGGGAGCTGCGTATGGAGAATAACGGACGTGTTTTGTCCAGTGAGTGATGCCAAAATATACAAGATGTGGGAGGGAAATGTAAGCAGAAAAAAAAATCTTGTTTTGATGCAGCCTCCTCTCCTCCAAAAGAAAACAACAACAAAGAAGTGATGCATCTTCCTACAGATTATACTGAGCCATTAATTGCTTACATGGATGCATACTGTTTGATAAGAGTTTAATCCCAACCCATGCTCCTATAGTAAATGCATGCAAACGCTCATCTAATTATAACAATGTATTTAAATATTGGATAAATATTAGTATTATATTCGTTATATATATTAGTATATATGTTTATAAAAACTTGAGAAATGCAGTAAAATTTAGGTTCTGACAGTTTAAATGCAATAATAAAGATATGTATTGGCTTAATTTTATGTGACTGCCTAACTTTTTACATCAGGGACCAAATTCTTGTCTCACTTATATTCATGAAACTCTGTTTACTTCAGTTGTTTTGCAGAGCTGTAGGTGGGAGCAGAATTCGGTCCAACATTTCCACTTTAAACCTGTGACTTCATAGTTTTTTGAGGCCAGAATGGATCGTTTGGATCATCTAGTCTGACCACATGCATAACACAGGTTTATGGCCCTTTTTCATGTGCCAGTCTCAGTCTTCACAGATCAAATAAGGTGATATGCTTCCTTCTTTGCTTAGATTGCAAGATCCTTGGGGCAAGGGATGTCTTTCATTATATGTGTGTGTGTACACTGTGTAGCACAATGGAAACCCAATCCTAATCGGAGTCTCTAGGCATCACACAATAAATATCAAATTATAACACCAACAAGCCAATAAAGTCTTAAAATTATTCTTTCAAAGGCTCAAGGACTCCAGAAGTCTAAAGTTAACATGTAGGAGGAGAATTTCCATTTAAAGGGTACAAAAATAAACCACAGGGGAAAGAATCAAAAATAAAACCGGCAAAACCAGAAGTACAGTATAGGAAACAAACCCTCAGAGGTGGAATGAAGAATTTGTTCAGGACTGAAAGAGAGAAATTATGTCACAAAGATAAGCAGGAGAAAGACCTCGGTTGTGCATGTATTATTAGGGGATTTCTAATAGTGATTGGTTGGATTCCTGGCAATCAACACAAAGTCCTCAAGAGAGGAGAAATCTGCTCAGAGATACAGGTACTTGAAAGCATCCTATTGACATAGTTCTGTACAAGATGCAAACACTTAATGGAAGAAGACAAGGCAATTTTTAATTATAAAACTCCAATGTGGGCTAGGGGTGATGAGCAGTCCTATAGCATGCATCATAAATGGAAAGAGACTCTGTGGGAGCAACGGTGCAGTTACAGTTTTATGGTGAAGTAGAAGACTGAAGAGGTAATCTGCAAAATATAACAACAGTATAAAGGCTTGAAGCAGAGTTCATTAAGAAATAAAATACAATGCACCTTATCACAGCCAGCATGTCAAAGGAAGAACTGATATACAACTAAGTAACTAGTTATGTTAATATAGTGAGAAATAATATAATTTTTTGCACTTTTCTAGTACCTTAAATTCTAAGGATCTCAAAGCCCTTTATGAAGCTGGAAGAGCATGACTCGTATGGCAAGATTACCAAAAAGGGAAAATATCATAAACAAATCTGATTCTTATTGCAGTAACTCAATGCATAATGCTAACATTATAATCTGGGCTAGGTGGAGCACTAACAGAATGTGAGTATAGCCCAAGATATACGTTTGGATATGTTATATAAAATGATAAGGAAATTATATTCATTTGACAGGTGCTAATTAAGGACACGATCCAGGCAGCAGTCAGAGTGTCACTGGCAGAAGGCTTGAGGCTCAGGCAGTAAAATCACATAGGCTCAAGGTTCTGGCAGATTTCTCTTTCCATGTCAATGAATTCTTATAAAGCAATTGATAAGGTAGATTGGAATTCATGGTTTTACCTTTACTGCATTATAATAGCCATGGTGATTTCATACAATGGAATCTTCACCACCATAATATG